ATCTTTGTAAATTAGAAGAGATTATTTGTTTAGAATAAGCCAGTTTTCTAATTCTCTCCTAGTCCTAAACAGTTATTATAATCTAAAATTCTAAGATAATCACACCACTGGCACCAAGCAGTACATATTATTTTTCAGGGAACTATTTTTGTTCCTACTTTCCTCTTCTATAGTAAAATACATATTCACCTTCCTAAAATATACACCAAATTCTAAAACAAATTTCAATTTTAAGTTAAGGTAATTCCATACACAATTCAAGGATCAGACATCCTGGACTTAATAGACCTTGTTTTTGTTTGACTGTGAGAATAAATAACTCTAAAGATATCAAGTAACGTGACCTTGAAAAAGATTTATGAGGGTTTGAGCTATGCTCACTATGTCAAAAAACAAAAACAAAAAAACAACCACCAGTCATTGTCTTCACGGACAAGAAAGCCTGATGCCCCAGTGGCAAAATCTGCACCACCCCCTACTGTACATGACGACCAAGGTTTAATTAGCAGCAATCCAGCTGGTTAGAGAGCACCAGATTAGGTGAGTGTGATGGACACTTGGGATGCTTGCTCCCTAGGGAATGCTGCACAAATTACAATGAAACTCGTAACATTTTTACTCAGCCTAGGAAAATTTCTAGAGTACAAGAGCTAGAAAGGGCCCTAAGAATATTTAGCCTAAGGCCCTCATGTTTGTTTGTTTTTACTTCATTTTTATTGATGACACTACTACAGATGTCCCCATTCCCTATCCCCTTTGCCTATCCCCTTTGCCCACCTCCACCCAGCACTAGTCCCCCCTTCCTTCTGGCCATCATTACACTGTTGTCTGTGTCTATAGGTTATGCATGTATGTTCTTTGGCTAAGGCCCTCCATTTATGAGAAGGTAAACAACTTGCAGAAGGCAATGAGGACCACTTGGGCTGCAAGCTAGCTGAAAGACAGGGGGATATGGTCTCAGGACATCTATCTCAGAGGCCAAGCCAAGCTGGACCTAGAGGCAAGTACAGCTGAGAAATCACCCAGAACTAAGGCTCCCATCTCTGAGGCACTTCCTGCAGAGAAGCAGCCCAGTACTGTGGCTAGAAGATGGGGGCTTCCACCTAGCAGCTGTATAACCTTAAGCAAGTTACAGCACCTCCATGTACTTCAGTTTCTTCATATGTAAAACAGAAATCCTATGTACTCCATAGGGTATTACAGAAGTAAATCTGTGAATATATGCAAAATACTTAAAACAGTGACTGGCACTCAAAAAGTAGATATTCAGGGTGTGGGGGAAGGGGCATAACAGGAAAAGGGGGTTAAGAAGTACAAACTTCCACTTATAAAATAAGTCATGGGGATGTAAGGTACAGCACAAGGAACAGAATCAGCAACATCATGTTAACGAAGTAGTGTATAGGGGCAGGTGGGTACTAGACTTATTGTAGTGATCACTTTATAAGGTACATAAACGTTGAATCACTACGTTGTACACCTGAAACTACTATAAAACTGCATGTCATTTATAATTTAAAATAAATTAATTTTTTTAAAAAGCAGTGTGTATTCTTAATTAATTACTCCCTCCCTCTTATCAGTCCTGTGCCCCCTCCAACTGGTATCGTCTGCTTGCACGTGGCCCATAAGAACCAGCCTGGAAAGTTACCTTATAGGTCAATATGGGTCTCTTAGTTTACATTCTCAAAAGAAATAAGCTGTTTGGTCAAATATTCAACCCTAGTGGTTAGGGGTTACCATGCAACGTAAACACAGCCCCCTCAACCTGCCCTTAAACTATGAAAGGTCTGGGGTTTTACCCTACTTGCAAGCTAACAAGCAAGCATGCTAGTTTCATGGATGCTGGCATAGGACATGAAAGAAAAACTTGATTACTCAACAGCAACAGCCATCTCCAGAGGATCAGCCTTTGTATTGGTTTAACAAGACCCAATTCTACAGGGCTGTGCACATACCATGGGCTGTGTCACAGAAGAGGAACCCCAAGCTCAGGGAGCTCAAATCTTTCATAATGGGTAGTAAATCTGCCTAACCTTTGTCCTGGAGAGGAGCATTATCCCTACTGATGGATGTGAACAAACCCACCCTTTGCTCTGGAGAGAAACAGTATCTTGATCTTCTAAGAGTGTTCACCATACAAGTATCCTTAAAAGGACAGCTGGGAACAAAGGAGGGCAGTTCTTCTGCTCTTAAGAAGTAAAATACATGGCCCGGCCGGGTGTGGCTCAGCGGTTGAGCGTGGACCTAGGATCCAGGCGATCGGGGTTCGATTCCCGGTCAGGGCACATGCCCAGGTTGCGGGCTCGATCCCCAGTCGGGACCGTGCAGGAGGCAGCCGATCAATGACTCTCATCATTGATGTTTCTCTCTCTCTCTCTCTCCCCCCTCTCCTTTCCTCTCTCTCAAATCAATGAAGATATATTTAAAAAAAAGAAAAAAAAGAAATAAAATACATGACATCCATCTTCCAAAACATCTAAATATATGGACATATATGCTGTGTTCATGGATTGGATAAGTCATTGTTGCTAAGATGTCAATCCTCCCCAAAATGCACTATTGATTCAACACAATCCCAATAAAAATCCCGAGGAAATTTTTTTGGTAGAAAGTGACAAGTTGATTCTCATATTCATATAAAACTGCAAAAGACTTAGAAACAGCCCAAATAAGTTGAAAAATAAGAACAAGTTGGAAGATTTACACTACCTGACTTTAAGATTTATTATAAAGTATGGTATTGGCATAACAATACAAAAATAGATCAGTGGAACAGACAAGAGTCCTAAAACTACACCCTTACATATGTTGTCATCTGATTTTCAACCAAGGCAATTCAGTGGAGAAAGACTTCATCAAAACAAACAGTGTTAGATCCACTAGAGAGCCATATGCAAAAAAAGAAAAGCAGCTTAGACTCATACCTCTCGCTACATACAAATGTTAACTTGAAATGGGTGATAGACTTAAATGTAAAATGCAAAACAATCAAACTAATGTAAGAAAATGCATTAAAAAAATCTTTATGACTCTGAGTTAGGCAAAGATTTCTACACCAAGCCTGGCCAGGCGTGGCTCAGCGGTTGAGCATCAACCTAGGATCCAGGCGGTCAGGGTTCGAATCCCGGTCAGGGCACATGCCCGGGTTGTGGGCTAGCCGGTCAATGACTCTCTCATCATTGATGTTTCTCTCTCTCTCCCTCTCCTTTCCTCTCTCTGAGATCAATAAAGATATGTTTTTTTAAAAATTTAAAAAAAAAAAAAAAAAGATTTCTACACCAAAAACATGATTCATAAAACAGGAAGAACAATAAATTAAACTTCATTATCAAAATTTAGAACTTCTTTTCTTCAAAGATGCTCTTAAGAGAAGGAAAAGACAAGCAACAGACGGAGAAAACATTTGCAAACTACACATCTGACAAAGGATTTGTACACAGAATATAAAAAAAACTCCTTAATGCTCAACAATAAGAAAAAAACCTTTTTTTTAAATGGGCAAAAGAATGGACACTTCATCAGAGAAGAAATATGGATGGCAAATAAGCACATGAAAAGATGCTCAACATCATTTATTAGTCATAACAAAAATGCAAATTATGATCACAGTGAAGTACCAATACGGCCCTATTGGAAAGTCTAAAATTAAACAGAATGACCATACCACAGACTGATGAGGATATGGAGCAGCCAAAAAAACTAACACACTGCTACGGGGAGAGTGAAATGGTACAACCACTTTTGAAAACTGTTGAACGGGTTCATAAAAACTAACATATACCTACTACATGACCTAGATATTCCACTCCTAGGTATCTACCCAAGAGAAATAAAAACACATGTCCATGCAAAGAAAGACTTATACAAAATGTTCATTTGAAATTTTCTTCTGAAGAAATGGCAAAATGTTCACAGCAGCTTTATTTATAATAGCTAAAATCTGGAGACAACACAAATGCCCATCAATAGCTGACTAAGTAACCAATTGTGGTATATCCGCATAAGAGAATACTATTTAGCATGGACAGATCTCCAAATAATTCTCCTGAGTGAAAGAAACTAGGCAAAAAAAGAATATGAAATGTATGAATCTATTTATGTGAAACTGTAGAAAATAGAAACCAATCAAGAGTACAGAAAGGGGGAAGTGGTTGGGAGCAGGGAGCACAAGGTACCTTTGCGGGGGATGGGTATGCTCACTGTCTTGATTGCAGTGATAATTTTACAGGTGTATATTTATGTCAGAACCTATCAGTTGTTTGCAGTAAATGTGTGCAGTTCACTGCACATCAATTACACCTGAAAACACCTATAACAAAAAATGAATATTTGCTACCAAGTAGAACTGAATCAAATATAAAGATTTATCTAATTAGAAAAAATAAGTATCATCAATTATTTTGCAAACTTCAGTGAAATATGTACCTACTAAATACAGAGTGTTAAAAATTATGATGAACAGATTGCTACAAAAATGTAGGTTAATTAGTGGTGAAGGAGAAGAGGAAGAGAAACAGTAGGGATAGCTTTTATTTCAAAGAAAACAAAAAGAACACATATACATTACCTATAACTATATATTATAGTATGTACATTATGTATGTATATAAGATCTTCAGAGTTGTAGTATCTCTCAGATTTCCTTTTCCCCACATTCCTTTAACACTAGGACTTCTCCTTTACCTGATATTCAGAGTCACAAACACCTATAGCGCTGGACTGTTCTCAGGGGAAGGGAAAGGTTAATGACATCTATCAGCTGTTTCATAATTTTTCTTTGTGTCACAGAATCATAAATTAAAAGCAACACTTCAGAATCAGAACTAAACACAGCCTGGCACACCACTAACTTTTCTGTCATTTGAAATCTTCTTCTGAAGAAATGGCAATACCTTGGGATGGTCTTTCCTAATTTCTAATAGGTGACAACCTCCCTCAGCCACAGAGGACAAGTATGAAAACTTTACAGGCAGACGTGCAGGTAACCCCCTCCTTACCACTCAGAAGCCACCACAGCAAAGGGATGAACCCTGGGCTCTCGCTGATGTACTTCAAGCCTTTCAAATTGATGCTCACGTTGTACAGGGACATCAGCATCAGCCTGAAATGCAAAGAGAAGGTGGTGAAGTACTGGCCCCTCCACACTGCACTTGGCCATGAATCCAGCTCCTGGTTAAGAGCTGAGCATATTTAGGGATTCCTTACATATCAGGTGTCCAACTCTAAAATCTGGACAACAGGAAGAGTAAATGGAAGGCATGAGAAATGGTATTTGTCTCTGGAGGCTACAGAAAAATGGGAGGCTACAGAAAAAGTGCCTATACCACCACCTCTTACAGCTCACAGAACCAAGAGATACAAATGCAGAGAAAACCTGACAAACCACATGTATGGAGTCATCTCTTTTTACCAATCCTGCATTTATATACAGGTAACCCTCAATTCATAAGTATACTGTACTCTGAAAGTTCAATTTCGCTGTCTAAAATTCAATCCTATCTTTTCATTCAGTAATTATCTGTGACCTCTAGGCAGCCAGGCCAGGCCGTACAAGCCTGTTTAACCCGCAGTCCCCGGGATGAGGAGTGCCACAACCCAACCATTCCTACCAGCCAACCAAACAGTAAGCAGAGTTAAACAGGATTTTACAAGTGGTCTTGGGAACTGGCCTCAACTGGTAATATAGAGTCTAATGGAAATTAGAAAACTACAAGACTGGTTTCTGACAATACTGCAAAATACAGAGATCCCAAAAACCTCACATGCAAAGCAATAAAAAAAGCTACATTGCCCGGCCGGGCGTGGCTCAGCAGTTGAGCGTCCACCTAGGATCTGGGCGATTGGGGTTCGATTCCCGGTCAGGGCACATGCCCGGTTGCGGGCTTGATCAATGACTCTCTCATCATTGATGTTTCTATTTCTCTCTCCCTCTCCTTTCCTCTCTCTGAAATCAATAAGGATATATTTGGGGGAAGAAAAAAAGCTACATGGCCCTAGCCAGTTTTGCTTAGTGGTTAGGGCATCGGCTCTTGGCCTGAAGGGTCCTGGGTTCAATTCCAGCTAAGGGCATGTACCTCTGTTGCAGGCTCGATCACATCGATGTTTATCTCTCTCTCTCTCTCCCTCTCTCACCCCCCTCTCTGAAAAGCAATGGAAAAAATATCCTCTGGTGAGGATTTATAAAAGTAAATTTAAAAAAAGGCTACACAAGTATTTCACAAACCCTTAAAAGAATGGATGAGCTTGCAAGAAATGAAGGGAAAACATTTCTGGTCAGGAACTAAGTGAAAACACAAATTTAGGCAGGCAAGTGCTGAAAAGGATGGATTTCAGAAGCACAGAGCTCGAGTATTTCAGTAGTTCATGCCGACCGACAGTCTCAGACGAACTCAAGACAGATTCCGAATACAGGCTCCTGCAGAAAGCCAGGAAGAAATTAACTTGGCATAAGTCCATACATGTTGTATGGCCTGAAAATCCACAAGCCAGTAATTTTAACACAAAGAAATCAGGGATAGGAGTTCCTTCAGCTGCCTGGTCAAAGTAAACCAACATTCTCTTAAAGGACCCTCAACCTAGTCTTCAAGGAATTCCCACAAATACAGCACTAACAAATGTGAGTTCATAACAGAAATCAAAACTGCATGAAAAACAAGGTATTATAAGTAACAGCACAAAGAACGAATGAGAGCCAGAATTTTTTTTTAAAGGCCATATACTAGAAGTATCAATTGCAGAATAAAAAACAATTATGTTTAATAGGTATAAATAATTCAAAAAGAAATTAAAAACATGACCAAGGATCTACTGAGTATTAGAAATGACCAGGCACTTCAAAAGGGAACCTAGTAGAACTTACAAAAATGAGAACTATAATAATCAAACTGTAAAACTCAAGGGCAACTGACACATGGGAAAGGAGAAATACCACACAGAAAACAGAGCTAAGAAATGGCAGCAAACAGCAAAGCTAGGAAGGAGGAAGCCCCACAAGGCCATCCCAGAACAAGGGAAGCACAAAACACAAATCCACCTGGGGCCATGGCCAGCTCCCAACTGCGCCAGCACGAGGCTGACAGCAGGAGCCCAGTGGAGAGGACAGCTGGCACCCCCAGCAACGAGGTGAGGGTTTAGCTGTTGACCACCTCAGGGGAGCCACAGTTGAGAACGGTCCAGCACTATAGGTGTTTGTGGCTCTGAATATCAGGTAAAGGAGAAGTCCTAGTGTTAAAGGAATGCGGGGAAAAGGAAATCTGAGAGATACTACAACCCTGAAGGTCTTAAATACATATGTAATGTGTATACTCTAACATATAGTTATAGGTAACATGTATGTGTTCTTTCTGTGAATGGACAGATGGTGGTACATCCAGACAATGAGATCTTATTCAGAGCTAAAAGATATGATCTATATCAAGCAAATATACAAACATATATGGAGGAACCTTAAATGCATATTACTAAGTGAAAGAAGTCAATCTGAGAAGGCTACATATTCTGTGATTCCAACTATATGACATTCTGGAAAAGGCAAAACTATAGCATGTGGAGGGGTACAGGGGTAGGGGAAATCTCTGTATCTTCCTCTCAATTTGTGAAACTAGAACTGCTCTAAAAAAAACTAAGTCTTTTTTTTTTTTTTAATCCCATCTCTGGGTCTGAGGTACCCAAGCTGCTGAAATGAGTCACCTTTGATCATGGAGGCAACAAAGAAAGCAAAACCCCCAGGAAAGACACACATTACAGTCAAGAAATGAAGAGGCCAAAAAGAAAAGGAAGCTTACTTATAGTATAAGAAAGGTGCTGGGTCCAGGGGACTCTCAGTTAGGGGCTGGCAGTGAAGAAGAAAGCAAGCCAACGGCAGCCTACAGAAGGCAGCCAAAGACTGTAAAGTGAGAAGACCCGCTTCCTTCTGGTGCATACTGAGATCCCAAGTGGGTCTGAGGCCAGCAGTCTGTACATGGGCTCTGCTCAGTGGTCAGATGGAAGACTGCCAAGAAAGTAAGCAAATCTCTCTGAAGGCAATTCTGACCTCCCAATGCAATGAACAAGAGCTCATTAGGACACAAAGACACGAGCTCCCTGTAGTGGAACCAGAGAGGCCAGAAGAAACCCAGTCCTCACACAAAGCTTTGCCTTGGAAATTGGAGGAGGGGGTTAGATGGGCCCATAAACACTAACCTTATACAGACTACAGAAGCAAAAGAGACAATGGTTTAGTATCCAGAAGACATAAGGAACAACAGCACATCATTAAGAAAAATATAACCCAACAGCAATTGAGCAACAGACATGAACAGATAAATCACCAAAAAAGCCCCTCAAATGTTTTGGGCATGAGAAAAGAGTCTCAAATCACTGGTAACCTAAATGTGAAGACGCACAGGCAGACAGATACCAGTAGATAGTGCAGAATCTTTGTAGGGACAGAATAATGAGGTGTTGAGGGTGTGAAAGAGCAGAACACTGTGAACATGTATGCTTCAGTGACCAACTTGGTAGTATCTTATAAAACTGAAAATGTACATGTCCCACTTCTCAAATATTCCCCTTCTAGGAAAACTCCTAGGGGAAATCTCACTCAAAGTAGCAGGAGATATTTGCTGAAGATGTTTACTGCAGCATTATGTTCGCAGAGTAAAACCTAAAATAACCTAAATGGCCGTAAGTCAGGGAATAAAGTTAACCCAATGTCCCATCCTCTTTGATATAAGATACTTAAAAAGAATTAACTAGATCCATAAACAACTTGTAAAGTCTATACAAAACTATATAACTCATGTTATACAGTTACATGTATTGCTCATGCACACATATTTGTTAGTACAAACACCAAAATGGACTAAAGTCTGGTTCCAGATATGATGGAGTAAACACACCCACTCTCTGGCTTCCACTGAATGTAGCTGAAACACTGAACAGAATACATGGAGCAGCTATGAGAAGCCCTGGAAAGTAAACAGCAGCAAGCAGATTGGGAAGAAGACCAGAAGCATAAGAACCACTGAACTAGCAGTGAGTCGAACGCTCGGCCCCCAAACCCAGGAGTGGCATTGATCCCCACAGAGAAGGGTACCCAAAGACTCTAGTTCAGACTAGAGGAGTAGAAAAGGGGTCTCCTGGCAGTGACCATGCTGGCAGTGGGGGCCCCTGGGCAACTCAAACTCCCTGGGAGGGAAATCTTCCTCACCACGGGAAGGACTGTGGTCCTCTGAGCTCCTGCTGCTTGGCCCTGGGCATGAGCACAGCTGCAGAAACATATGACACAGCAGGGCATACAAAACCCCAGCAATCCAGGTAAAGGACTGAAAAGGGAGCCCTGGGGAACCAACAAGTACCAGGGACATCGTGAAGAGTTAAAGCATAGGAAAGTGACCACACAAGATTGTTATTAACTCCTCGCCTCACCCAAACTATGCATGCATTGATCTGATCATAAACAGCACATCCAACATTCTGAGAAGTCAAATGTAAACTATTATCCAGGTCTTACACTGGCCACAGTTGGTACACACAAGAATCAGACCCAATAGCATTGCAAAGGCTTTTTGAAAATGGAACTGACATTGAAACCACAACACAGAAAAGGCTGGTCAGAACTTGCAACCTGAACCCAAGCAGGTTGACTGCCTGCTAAAAAAAAAAAAAATCAACATTTTCCATAGGATTCCATAAGACCCAGGTTCTCAAAACACAATATTCAAATGTCCAGGAAGCAACCCAAAATTACTCAACATAAAGAAACAGGAAAAATACCAACACATGTGGGAAAAGACAACCAAGAGACATCAAGGCCAAGATGACACAGATATTGGAAATATCTGACAAAGACTGTTATAAAAACTACTCCAAGAAAAGCGAACACTCGAAATGAATAGCGCGGTGGGCAGAATCTTACAATGGCCCATGATTTCCTGCTCTAATCCCTGGCACTGTGCACAGACTATCACACTCTGGTAAATTACATGACAGAGCAGCTCTGGATATGCTTAAATTACTAACCTGCTGACTCTGAATTAATCAAAGGGCATTTATCCAGTTATGCCTAATCTAAACCCATCAAAATCTAAGAAGGATTCAGTGAGCTACTGTGACTTGAAGGTAAGGTGGGGTCATGTGCTAAGGAATTCAGTCAGCTCTGGAAGCTGAAAGTGGCCCCCACCTGACAGCCAGCAAGGAAACAAGGACCTCAGTCCTACAAAGGCAAAAAACTGGATCCCACCAGCAATCTGAATGCACCTGGAAGCATTCTGGCCCTGAGCCTCTAGAACAAAGCCCAGCCCTGGACAATGCCTTGATTTTGGCCCTGTGAGACCCTGACTGGAGACCCAGTCAAGTCCACTCAGACTTCTGACCTACAGAACTGTAAAGGAGATGTTGTTTCAGCCACTAAGTTGGCAGTATTTTGTTACACAATAGTAAATGAATACTGATTTTGGTAGCTGGAGGTAAAGTGCTTCCATAACAATTACTTATTTAAGTTCATTTTGAGGTCACTATTATAACCCTCAAGTATCACATGATAGCATTTGGGACTCACTGATTACTCTGACAACATTCCCTTTTATATTATTTTTCTGAAACAGCATTGAATAGACAGCAACCCTGAATTCTCCAGGCAATTTGTTCCTTCTGTATTTTTAGAAATATTGCCAAATTAATTGCGTTTATCTGAAAAAGAGGCCCAACCAACCAGCAAATTCTGACTAATTTGTAAATAAACATTAACTTTTTAATACTGTACACCGTACACTTTGAGTTTGGTGCACTGTCCTGGCTTCAAGTCTCCCAGAAGCTGTAGTATGGTGTCCAAGAGCACCCGGCTGGAGTTAACCAGGAATTCACGACCGCACGCTATGGCAGCAACATCTGCAACAGAAAGACAAAACCAAGTTCAAACTCTCTATAACGTCAACTCTAGAAAAGTTTGTCCATGACAGAGTATTTGTTGCTGTTTTTCTCCTAACACACCTAACGAAAACAAAACAGCCCGAGAGGCATAAAAAAATGGTGTTGTCCACAGTGCTGACAGTCCAGAAAGAAGAACTGACAACCACAACAGTTACTCAGACAGTGAGTAACGTGCTTCGTGATTAGCAAACACCTCAACAGTGGAACAGAGCACTGGAATCTCAGTATGACTGCAGCTGGCCACAGAACAGCAAGTGGACACCATGCTCCAGAACCCTGGGTTGACAGCTCTGGGCAGTCAGGCTCCACACAGAAGCTGAGGCTGATTACTTTATGTGGGACCAAGGACACTAAAATCCACTTTCAATCCTGGGAGTGAAACCCTAATGACTTTGAACCACAACGCCAAAACCAAATCATGAGGTCAAAGAGAGGAGGAAAACTAATTCTGAAAAAAACCTTTTTTCAAACTTTTATATCCTATTGTGGATCAGCAACTATCATGTTTCTTCATGCCTAAGGCCCTGCAGACACCAGACCAAGTGACTCCATGGCTCCCAATGAATACCCCTGCAGGTGATACTGGCTCTTCAACATTCCCCAAACCCCTGGGAGGGCAGATCAACAATACAAGTATGTGTATGTGCCTGCTGGTGATATTTTTCTTAGCTAAGTCAAACAAGAAATTGTGATTCAAAGTGACCAAAGTTCCTAAATGAAGAGCAGGGAAGCAGCACCCGTTCTCTGACTTGAACGGCAAACTCCCAAGTTATCACAGCTAAGTGTGGCGTCTGATACAGGATTCTGATAGACACCTTTACCAGTTCAAGGATGTTTTCTTCTGTTTTCACTCTGCTCAGAATTATCAAGAATCAAGGATGGACTTTATGGATTACTTGCTCTTTGACAACTGTTCTCAATGGCAGAATATAAAGCTCCATTATGCTACTAGATCAGCCTCATGGAACGAAGCCCTGGATATTCCTACTGACGTTCGCTCCTGACTGAGGAGGATCGCGAGGCAGAAGGCCCCCAACCCTAATCGACCCCCACTTCTGCTTATCTTTCCAGGAGTGTTCGCCTCGTAAGCTGGTGCTGTGTCACCTGGTACGTAATTCACGGTAGCTATGACTTTACTGAAGACAGGACCCTTCACTGACAGGACTCTTCTCCGTTCAATGAATCGAACCTGACAACTGTATTTTCTAGCACAAGACACTCTCTGGTTCTAATAAAAAATATTTAGAGGGGAAATGAAGCTCTAAGCATTTGGCATCATAAACTCATAAAAAGTCATCTTAAAATAGTTTTTCAGGGGAAAACACTCTTCATGTAACTAGAGTTAACCACATACTGGAACCCCGCAGGAAAACACACGCTCTAGCTATGAACTTTGGTAGCTAGTTTGCAGAAATGACTTTCCAACCATGCCTCCAATGAAGACCCCTGGGCTGTCCCTGCCCTGTGACTCAGGTGTAATGAGCAGAATGCAGCGGAACCGATGCTGCGTGACTTTCAAGGCAAGGTAGGAAGGAGCCTGACGGCTTCCACCCTGGTCTCTTGCCACTTGACCTAGGATCCCTGAGTCACCAGGAAAGAATCCTGAAGCTGAGGTGATGCAGAGACCACAGAAAGAGCACACAGTGGAGAAACCCTGGGACTATATGAGGAGGGAGAGACAGATACCCTCTTGCCCCAGTTGTTCTGTCCCTCCGTAATATGAGTCACCCCACCCAAGGCCCTGGATATTGCAGAGCAGCAGCAAGCCAGCCCTGCCCACCCTAAGCAAACTCCAGATTCGTAATCAAAATAAATGAGGCTGCTGTTTAAAGGCTGGAAGTTTGGGGGTGGTCTGTTCCACAGCCATAGATAACAGGAACATCACTAAGACATCACTGAAGAAAAATATCAGAGCAAGGGCTCACTGTATCACAGCCCACAACACCCCACAAAGTACAACCAATGGACTGGTAAATGAAGTCCCACATCATGTATCTGGATTATAACAGCAAATGCCAATACTGCATCCATGGAATATCAATGACTAAACAACAAACTAGGAAATAAAATAAATGTGAAGAAATTCCTACATGGATAGCTCCAGTATTTGTCCATCTGTCTGGGATGCTTATGTGTCAACTCTAGGACTACAAAGGATGGCCAGTGTATTTTCTGTTAAAATGTACTTATTTTTTCTAGGTTCATTTTTCATTAAAATTATTTCTAAAAATTACCACAGTAAGTATATAATTTAAGCAATGAGTCTGGTGTCAATTATGTGTGCTGATAAAAATATAGAGTTGAGATGTATTATGTCTGATACTTTTGCTTTAGGTTGTGATAATTTTGTCTAATTTTCAGCAGTAGAAATAATAACAGGGTACTAACATAATGATACATCAATGGAAGAACAGAGAGTCCAGAAGCAAATCCTCACATTTATAATCAACTGATCTTCAACAAGGGTGTCAAGACAACTGAATGGAGAAAAGATAAGAGAATAATACTTTCAACAAATAGTGCTGGGACAACTGAATATCCACATACAAAGAAATAGATGGACCCCTAAACCCCACACCACATACAAAAACTAACTCAAAATGGATCAAAGACCTAAATGTAAGGGATAAAACTATAAAACTTTAGGAAAAAATATAAAAGTAAATCATGATGTTGGATTAAACAATAGTTTCTTAGATATTACACCAAAAACAAAAGGAACTAAAGAAAAAATATACTGGATATCATCAAAATTTAAAACTTTTGTGCTTCAATGTATGCTATCAAGAAAGTGAAAAGACAGGTGAAAGAAGAAGAGAAGACTTGCAGATCATGTATCTGATAAGGGACTGGTATCTAGATTATATACAAAGGACTCTTACAACTCAATAATAAGACAAATAATTTTAAAATGGACAAAGGACTTGAATATACATTTCTCCAAAGAAGATATATAAATGGCCAATAAGCACACACAAAAATGCCATAATTAGTCATCAATTACCAAATATATACTATTTATGCAAACAAAAACCAAGATGAGATGCCACTTCACACCCACTAGGACCCATATAATAGAAAAGACAATTAAAAGGTGTTGCCAAGGAGATGGAGGGGAATGACAGGGTTGGGGAATGACAGCTAAGGTTAGGAGGGTTTGGGGGGAGGGGGGAAATGATGAAAATGTTTAAAATTGATTGTGGGGATGAACAACTGTGTAAGTATGCTAAAGCCATTGAATTATATACTTTAAATTGGTGAATTGTATGCTCTATTATATCTCAATAAAACTGTTAGTAAGTTAATAACTAAACTAATAATAGGGTTTCAATTTCCATGTTCTTAGTTGCTACTGCTCATCCTGAACCTGTTTTCTATAAACCTCTTATCTGCAACACTAACACTGCACCATATATTTTTTAAAGAAACATAAGCAAGTTTCCTCTGATATTAATATTGTGACTGTTTTGTTTTTGTTTCTTTGCATTTGCTGTGGTAGTTTCTCAATTTAACTATTCAGCTGTCAAATATACACTATTTGTGGACCACCCCCCCTTTACAGTTGGAGGGAACGCCCAGTCCCACTGAGAAGTGGTTCCTAGAATTCAGTTTCTCTTCTACTTTGGGTGATATGGCTTCTGCAGTGAGAAGTCAGATTAGAGAGCAGCATCCTGTAACCTGAGGGCTAGCTGAGGGAGATGAGCCTACTGCCCTTCTCTGATTGCCGCTATTAGTCCACGCTGTCTAAGTGACTCCTGGGACATGTGCCCATATCGCTTATAATCTGCAGGTGCCTTCGCCTGCAAAATCTGCCTCTACCAGGTTAGATGAGTTTCCACTGTGGAGTGAGCACTGTTAGGAAGCCCAGTCATAGAAAAATCAATGGCCAGACATGGTGACACTGTTTCACTTCCACCCAAATGCTATCACCTGCTGATCCACCATGAAGAAAACAGCTCCAAACAAAAGTCCCCAGCTTACCTATAGCTCATGCAAAATGATAGTTCCTGTACTTTCAGCTTGTTCAGAATTTCTGCCTTAGCACTCACTCTATTGCACTCACTCTACTGCAATCTTGGGAAACAAAGACTCCCAGGGTCTTTCATTTCTCCCAGCCTGTAACTGTTACTCTGGGACCATTATCAGAAAGACTTCCTCCTCCTCTGGCACACAACCCCTGCAAAGTTTAATGGATAGAGATTTATTTTGCAAATGGAACTGAAAATAAAAGGCTCTACAAAAGAGTAATTTTTATGTCCCAGAAAATTCTAAATACAAATTATAGCCAATCTGAATATTAATTTGCCCATACTATGTATGACTCAAGAAATAACCAAAAATTAACCATGGTCCCAGAATCCCTAAGGGAAAAGATTCTATGGACAGAGTCAAATAATTAAAGCAAAAGCCAAAGAGTCCAGATGATTCTCCTAAATCTTTACCCAAACTTCTTCAATATTCTCTAAGCTAAAACACAGGAAGCTGTAGGCCAACTGTGACCAATTTAGTAGAAAAAGGACCAATAATTCCTTGTACCAGTCCCTGCAATCACCTGACATTAGCTGTTAGAGGATATGGAACTTGTCCAAGATCTGTAAACAAGTAACAAATAATTAATCCATTTTTCTGCAGTGTCCAACACAAACATCATCCTCTTTTCATCCCACCTGAAGCCAAAGCCAAATTCCTCACAGGAACAGATTAAGGTTCAGGTGTCTTTAGTGTCCCATTCTGTAGGGTTCACCAATTCACTTGCCTTCACCTAGAAAAGTCAACAATTCACCCAGAAAGTTATGTCCCCAGGGATTCACTGAAGTTCCATCCTACTCCTCTCAAGCTTTACTCCCAGATCTTAAGAACGCATGGAGCCTCGTGGGGTCCTTCTGGCCCAATATATACATAACCTCCTCTTATGTTCCATTAATCCGGAAAGCTCTAAGGCTGATTATGCTTACTCCTCACCACGCTAAAAAGGACCATGAGCTTCTAAGTTAACACTCCAGTTCATTATCTAGGCCACAACGTCAACTGAAGGAAGGGCAGCATCTAAGGAAAGATTACAAATTATCCAAAATTATCCAAGACCAATCACTGAAAGACAGTTAAGAGAATTTCTGTGATTAACTGAGGCCTCAATTCCCACCCTGTCTTCTTTCCCAAGATCACACTTCTTCCTTGTGTTAGTGGGAATATGTGGAGGAAGGGAACAGGTGGTAGAAGCATTGAGGAGCCAGGAGAAGTGACAATCATGGACACGAGGGTAGTCTATTGACTTTGTGGAACGATTACATCCATGAAAGATAAGCTGGATCCAGTCCTGCTCATACATTATCAACAGTCAAAAAGTAATTTTTATTCTGAAATCATTATCTAATATTGTTTGAATAAACAGACCCAGAATAAAGAGGCAAGCAATGTAATTATGACTTTCAAGTAATCAAAACGCAGGAGCAGCAGTTAGAAAAATCAGTTTTCCACGTGCAAGGTAAGCAAGTTAATCTTCCCAGGACTGTGATAATAATTTGCCATCTTCTTTTACATTCTTCATTTTTCCCGTTATACAAATTACTGAAAACAATCACTTCCTTATGTTGAAGAGCAGCTTGGTTTATAATGTGCTATCACCTCCGCAGTTCAGCAGAATATTCACAACAGTGTAAGATCATTAGAGCAGGAGTTACTGTTCCACTTTGCAGATGAGGAGCAGAAATCTGGAGAATTTTCATGCTGGGAAGTGGATTAGTTGTGCCTGAACATCCAGATCCTTCACTATACTAACCTATTACTAAGGACAGTGACTGTGGATGAGTAAGAAATCTAACAACTTCAATGTTTAAAAAAACCTTGACTTTCAGTTTTTGTGTAGGATACAGCAAACTGGAAAGAGCTACACCTTGATTCTGTAAAAGGTGGGGGCAGTAATTTGTAAAATCACGACTTCCCTTCAACACATCAGAGAGCTAAGGTCAAAGATCAACCAACTAACCTGAGAAATAAAAAAAGGCAGAGGCTCCATGAAGAGATGTGAAGCAGGCACTTGCTTACCTGGGGCAGACGCTGGACACCAGATAAGCCAGCAAGAAAAATCCAGCTGAGAGTTTTAAGGAAGTGCCAGGTCAGCAGTTGCCTGGGGCTGATGGAAGACAGAGTGGTCAACAACAGAAGGAAGAGATGGGAGATAGGGAGGCGGTTCCAGGAGGTAATGGGGCTATTTCACATCCTAACTGTGGTGGTTACATGACTATATGAATTTGCCAAAACTCAGGAACTGCAAAAAGGCAAGAGGAAAAAGTGTAAAGGATAAGTTTATTGTATGTAAATTTTTTAAAAGAATCCGTGTTTTAGAAGGCAGGGATCCATGGGGCAGGGATCTCTGCTGTACTGCCTACTCCCCAAGGAATAGTGTCTTAGTATTTGAGATGCATAAGCCCCCAAGGCTTCTGCAAAACAGCACTTTAATAAAACCACCACAGTAATACTCCCAGTAAAATTCATCAGTGTGGAAGCAAAAAAACATGTAAGTGTCTACTGTACAAACTCTGTGAGGCTTCCTGTGTGAGTCACTCCAAGCAGGGAAAAACAAAGCCAAGTGAGCTCATATGCTGGGCAACAGGCTGGCTCTGCCCACTGGCCAACTGCCTCACCACTACACACCAGCTGGCAATTCAAACAGCTCAAACACACAACTCAGCAGAATGACAAATCACATATGCCATGGACCTTTGGTGTCACTTGCAAATAAAAAAATCTAGTCATCAAATTTACAAATGTCTTCTGTTAAACAAAAAAAATCCCACACAAAACCTTAAAACAATTTTAAAAGATACAGCAATGCTAGCCTCTTCCAGCAGAGGTGCGAGGGTGAGAGTGCGTGATGTCTGTGGTCCTGCAGAGGATGAGGGTGCTGGGTAAACGAGGACTGGCCTACAGACCATGAGCCTCAACATCTCCCCAGAAGGAGCATGAGGAATCATGAAGGGACAACGTCTACACAAGACCTGCCTCATCAGTATTTCAGTAGGTGAAGGATATTGCAGAGAGGAAGAATAAAATGTCCTCGCTCCTTAACGGCAAAGAATTCCCCTAAGATACACAGCAGAGATGAAGAGTAACGTAAAAATAAGTCCCAGCAATCTATTCACAACTGTTAAACTGACTCCAGAGCAGAGCGCCTCGGTCCTCACTAGTCCACACGCTGAGAGATCAGCTATTGTTGGCTTTCTCCTTCACAGCAATTTTGCCACAGAATTCTGTCATAACTATACTACAATCTTGGGGACAAACTTACTAAAGAGACAGTTTAGGTTTTGGAGTTCCTTAATTACTGTACCACAACAATAGCAATAGTTTAGGCTTTTACTTTACTAAACATTAATAAAGTGAGAATGACTCCAAATAACAAGCAGCTCAACGTACAGTTTTGTTCTGACTTCTGTAGACACACAGACTGAGCATGCAGTGTCATCCATGCTTCCTAAGACCAGTCATGCTTACTCGACAATTCCGTACTTACCGGAATGACCTGCATGATGCGTCACAATTCACACCTGGTATCTATCCCAGGTCACTGAGCCAGAGTCTCCAGGGTGAAAACAACATGGCGCTTGAAAAAGTTCCTGAGAGATGTTTATGTTCACATCCTTGACTGTAATCATTGCTCGAGGACACACTTAAAATAGTCACTACACTTAAAAGAATTACTTACTTGTCACAATTCCAGCCAAAGCAAAAACAAACTGATTTTCATCAGAATCGAGTTCCTTGACATCCCCATCCAGTGACTTCACAAAACTCTCCATTGTCTGACCGGTGATGTTGAAAAACTTCAAAGCTTTATCCTGAAAGTTTGGAAATGAGAATATCACACCCTTTCACAAACACCAGTATGAAAACATTTTAAAAGTGCAGGATACACAAGAAAGATCTTGGTGTTAATCACAGAGGCAATATTTTAAAATCTATTCCTCATTAAAACTTTCTATTAAAAAGATGAGGGAAAAAGGCTTGACTTTACTATACAATAGAATTATTCGTAGAAAAATTACCCTGAAGACTAATGCAGAGAGTAAAATAAAAAAACATATGGGAAACAGCTCAAAAATTACACAATGACGGAAGTACTGGGATGAATTCACCCAAAAGTATTCTAGAAAAATATGTCCTGTTTGTTCTACACATGAAATCAGAGGTTTCCAAACCTTTGGCAAAACTGCTTTCCAAATAAAATCTTAACTGAAATCTCAACATGGAAAAAAGATGAAGACGGTGAATAGGCTTATCTGGCAGTTCGTGACTTGACAAAAGTATTCAAAGTTTGCACAGCCTTTGCAGCACTTCTCTGAGGAATCGTTTGAAAGCCAGGGCATGAGGGAGCTCCGAGGATGACATGAATGTTCTAAGACTGCACTGTGGGGACGTTGCACAACTCTGGAAATCAGCTAAACTCCATTGAGTGGTATACTTACAGATGGGTGAACTTTATGGTATATAAATTATATCTCAATAAAACTCAGTAAACTTTTAAAAACAGATTTACTCACTCCCCTGAAAGTCAAACACAACTTTAATTTTTATAAATGATGAATAATTCATTACTGGCCTCCTACTAAACACCCCCTTCCTGACTTTTATTTCCGTTCACGACACTCCATTCTCCCAGGGTCACACCTGTCTTCCTTGGTTCCTTTCATTCTGTCAGCTGTGGAGTACACACCATCACCACACCAGCCTCAGTACAGGCTCTTCTTCCCTTCCACCTCCCTACAGAGAGCAGCTCACTCCCACCTGAGCCATTGAAACTCTAATTTGTCTTCCTGTCCTGTCTACAGACCTCAACTCCCTCCCCAACCCACCCTCACTTTGTCAGGTTAACCTTCCCCAAACTCTCCTCTTGACCCATCCTCTTTTATTCAGCACTCAGGAATACAGTCCTCCCGCCTCCTGGACTGCATTATCAACCTGCATTGATGGTCTTCCCAAATCACACTCCACCCGACCTTGTAAGCCTTCTCCTCCCACAACTTTACCACGCAACCCTCCGCTCTGTGTCAACCAAGCCACGCACTGTCCCTAAACAAACTTCAGACTTTGCCCTATGACTTTGATACGCTGCTTCTCTCCTCGCAAGCCAACCTCCCCATTCTCTACCAATACTGCCTGTTCAAGTTAATCAAGGCCAATCTCAAATCTCTCTTCCTCTGTGGTTCCTTGATGCATGTGCTATTAACATGTATATTTTAAATCACATATAACATTCAACAGATTAAAATTACATCACCCAATGGATAACATATGTAAAAGCACTTTAAATTTTGTTAAACGTATACAAATGCCAAGTAATAATACTGAAGTGGTACTATCGCCACAAACACCATACAGCTTCTGGGATCTTACTACATTCATTTTACATACCCCCAGAGCACCAGGTTACAGAGGACCCACACAGCTGGCATTCCAAAACTATTTGATGAATGAAAGAAAGAAATGGATGGAGTCTGTAAGCCTAAAAGACATGCTGTACCCTCCCGGTCACATAAGCACTCATCAGCAAAGTCCAGCTGGTCATTCTTACTCCTCCCAGAATGGCTTTGACGACCTCCTCACTGCTGGAGACGCTCCAGAGCAGGGTGCAGGCTGCTGCCCCCATCTCTGTACAATACTCCGCCTGCTGTAGGAGTTGCTGCTTCGCTTCATTCAGCTCCTGACGAAGAGCCAGTTTCTCCTAAAATCAAAATGAAATCAGAAAAATGAATAGCATGCAACTTCAAAATATCTCATGTTTTCTCTTTTGAAGATATTTTAAAGGGAAGAAATACACACAGAATTATAGAAAACAGTTGATAAATGAAAACTAGTCCTTAGAGAGCCATAATCCATAATTTAAAAATAAACTTCAGAGGCAAAATTAACACTCTTAGAAAAGAATATCCTATTGCATTAGAGTTTATAAATACTGTCAAAGTCAAGAAGCTTTTTCTCTATGGGAGAAAAGGGAGCACTGGGGCCACAAATTCATCTTTTTTAAGTCAGATGAAAACATCAGGCATCTCAGGTCCCAAGTGGCTATGCCCAGGTCCAGTACCAAATGGGACACCTGAACAAAGTGACAAACTCACACAGCAGTCCACACACAGAGCAACATTGTATTAAAGGAGCCTGCTGCCTCCAAATGGCTCACTCCATTGTAAACACACCACAGGACACAGCTAAGATCAGGTAGGAAAGATGGACATAGAGGAGGGAGAGGAGTGCGAAGGAAGAGCCTCCTGGGCGTGCACTGGCACAGCAAGGTAAGTGCCAGTATAACAGGAAAATGAAGGCTAGGGAAGATTTCTCACCCTCCCACCAGCAGCCTCTGAGGAAACCTAGGCTGCAAGTCTGAGCTACGGCTCTCACCAAGGACAAAGACAGTGCACTGCCCTCCTGATGTCCCCTCCGACCACGAAGCACTCCTAAATGTTCACCTCTAGGTGGGTCTTAGGTGATCTGGGGATTCCTGCCCTCCCTAACCACCCCCACCAGTTTCACTATTCCTTGTTACCTGAAATTCCCTTAGAGGGTGACAGTATTTCCTTACTTAATAAGATATAAACTTAAAAATATAAAATATAGTTAAATTAATATATTCCAAAGTATAATTAGCTCAATAGCCCACAAAATATATCTTAGAGGTGAGAGTACAGGACAAAATCAAGGTGTTTTTCATCTAGGGGACAAGAGAGAGCAGTGGGGCCACAGGTCAAACTCTGTTGACCTCATAACTTGGCCTAGGGTGGCCCATTCATACCCACCAGGAAAGGATGCATTTGGCATACAGAGCTTCATTCATATATACAGGGTGGGCAAAACTACATTAAGAGTTGTGAGTACACAAAACACAGTTAATAAAGCTATTATCATAACCTATGTGTCTTGCTCCGTACAAACAAGTGTGAACCTACTTTTGCCCACCCCTGAATATTCATACTTAGTTTAGGAGAAAAGTGGTCATTGAGCTGATGACACATGCTAATACTGCTTATGTGATTTCTGAACTCTGACATCTTAAGGTCAGACTTCATCATAACAGTAATCTGGAATCCTATGTTCGTTCTTCAGGTGTCTATAGCTGAAGCCACCCAAACTGCGACGACATATGCAAAAAACTGCATCACAGCCTTATTGCTGATATGGAGAAAGTTTTGGGGTTCCGGATATAAAATCAAACCAGCCACAACATTCCCTTAGGCTAAAGCCTAATCCAGAGCAAGGCCAACTCTCTTCAATTCTATTACATAAAAGTGGAAGACGCAGCTGCAAGTGCCGATGTAGAAGCTGTAGCAAGTGATCCAGAAAATCTAGCTCAGATAATTAATGACGGTGGCTGCACTAAACAATAGGTTCTCATTGTAGATGAAAAAGCCTTATATTGGAAGATGCCACCTTGGGCTTTCCTAGCTAGAGAGAAGTCAATGCCTGGCTTCAAGTTTCAAAGAACAGGCTGACTCTCTTGCTAAAAGCTAATATAGCAGTGACTTTAAGTTGAAGGCAATGCTACTTACCATTTAGAAAATCGTAGGGCCCTAAAGAATATGTTAAATCTGCTCTGCCAGTGCTTTAATAAATGGAACAACAAAGGATGGACGACAGCACACCTATTTACAATATGGTTTAATGAATGAATATTTAAAACTCACTGTTGAGACCTACTGCTCAGAAAAAAGATTCCTTTCAAAATATTACTGCTCATTGACAGTTCACTGGTCACTCATAAGCTCTGATAAGGACGTACAATGAGATTAATGTTTTTGTGCCTGCTAACACAATATCCATTCTGTAGCCCAAGGATCAAGAAGTAACTTAGACTTTCAAGTCTTATGATTTAAGAAACATGTTTCATAAGGCTCTAGCTGCCATCGATAATGATTCTGCTGATGGATCTGGGCAAAGGAAACTGAAAACCTTCTGGAAGGGATTCACCATTCTAGATACCATTAAGAACATATGTGGGGGGCATGGGAGGAGATCAAAATATCAACATTAAAGGGGATTTGGAAATTTATTCCAACCCTCACTGGTGACTTTAAGGGGTTCAAGGCTTCAGGGGAGGAAGTAATTGCAGATATGGTGGAAAAAGCAAGAGAACTAGAATTAGATCCTGAAGATGTGACTGAATTACCGCAATCTGATAATGAAACTTAAACAAATGAGGACCTGCTTCTTATGGACGAGAAAATGAAATGGTTTCTTGAGATGGAATCCACTTCTGGTGAAGATGTGAAGACTGTTGAAACGTCAACAAAGGATTTAGAATATTACATAAACTTAGTTGATAAGGCAGTGGCAGAGTTTGAAAGACCTGACTTCCATTTTGAGAGAAGTTCTACTATGGGTAAAATGCTATCAAACAGCATCACATGCTACAGAGAAATCATCTGTGACAGGAAGAGTCAATCAACACAGCAAACTTCACTGTTGTCTTAGTTTCAGAAACTGTCACACTCACCCTGATCAGTCGGCAGCAACACAAGGTAAGATCCTCCACCAGCAAAAAGATTACAACTTAACTAAAGGTTCAGATGATACATTTTTTAGCAATAAAGTACTTTTAGTTAAGGTCCATCAATTTTTTTTTATTTTAAAATTTTTAATCCTCACCTGAGGATATTTTTTTCATTGCTTTTCATAGAGAGTGGAAGGGAGGGAGAGAGGGACAGAGAAACATCGATGTGAGAGAGATACATTCATTGGTTGCCTCCCTCATGTACCCCGACTGGGGCTGGGGATCAAGCCTACAACTGAGGTACATGCCCTTGGCCAGGATCAAACCTGGGACCCCCTCAGTCCACAGGCAGATGCTCTAACCACTGAGCCAAACCAGCTAAGGCAGTACATCAATATTTTTAGACATAATGCTCTTTATTGCACACTTAAGAGACTACAGTATTGTGTAAACTTTTATATGCACTGTAAAACCAAAATAATTGTGACTAGCTTTATTGAGGTGGTCTAGAATGGAACCCACAAAATCTCTGAGGTAAGCCTGTAAATGGAAAGGCATACCATATTCATGGATTGGAAGACGTGAGATTGGTAAATTGGCAATTCTCTCCAAAACTGATTTACAGACTCAACATAATCCCTATCACAATTTCAGCAGGGTTTTTTGTGTGTGTGTGTTTTTTTTACAAAGTGATAATCTGATTCCAAAATTTATATGGAAATGCAAAAACAAAAAAATTGAAAAAGAAAAACTGTTAGAGAACTAACACTGATTTCAAAAACAAAAACTTACCATAAAGCTATAATAATCAAACCAGTGTGGTATTGGCATAAGAATGAACATAGATCAGTAAAACACTGACTTTTATGGCAACCAATTTTAACAAAGGTGTTAAGGTAATTCAATAGAAAAATTTATTGCCTTTTCAAAAATTGATACTAAAGCAACTAGATATTCATATGTAAAAAAAAAATTACGTGATAAAACTGCCTAGAACTATGGGCACACACACAAATGAGTGCATATAAAACTGGTGAAATACAAACAAGTCCAGGTAATGCTGATGAAACCTACATAAACTTGGGATTATATCAATGTGAATTTCCTGGCTTTTACTTTGTCCTGTAGTTATGTAAGATGTTACCACTGGGAGAAACTGTATGAAGGTATAGGGGACGTCTCCGGGTTTTTTGCAACTTCTTGTGAATCTATAATTATTTCCAAATAATTTCTTACCAAAAAACAAAATGGATAGGAGTGATAGTTTTACAACTACATAAATTTACTAAAAATCACCAAACTATAATTGTACAACAGATAAATTTTGTGGTGTATAAAATATATCTCAATAAAGCTGTTTCAAAATAAACAATAATCAAACCCTGATATATTTACCTACTTAAAGTGAATATTGATACACAACAGGGTATCCAGCACAATACTTTGAAGGCTCCTTCAAAATCTGTATTTATCTCTGATTGTAACTAACTATACTATCAGTTAATTTTTTTTAAAGTTTTCTGAAATAATGTACAAAGTATGCAACAACTTCCTTTTTATTACCATAAAAGTAGTAACTCTTTCCTACCAATTTAAAAACATAGATAACAAAAAATTGGCAGTCCCTACTTTAGTTAGCTTACTGACTGTGAAAGGTGCATACCAGAAGAGAGCAACACAGCAAGAAGACGAAACCACAGGTCAACCACTGACAGGCCTGCTCCTCGAGAACACAGGGGAACTGTACATTGTCTATGATCACTCCAAACGCAGAAAAGCCAGCCAGGTACTAAAAAGGGGCCGCCAGCAGGTCCTCTGTGGAAAGCTTCCTCTACCCTTACAGTGACAGCACAGTCTTTCAAAAAGTCACCCAGCTACCCTCCGACAGTTTCACCTACACCGTAAAAGCTGGGCTCTTTCTTCTCTCGAGTTCAAAGGCTTCTTCGCCAGGACTTTCCGGGCCAGCTCCATAGATCACATCAAGGCCCATCTGGCCTCCTCCACGGATCTGACTCAATCACTACCACGAGACATCTCAACTGAGGTCAGGAACCAAGTTTTCCTTGTTCCAGTCACCATTCTAGGGCAGTTGGGCACTGCTGCTTTATGAATTTGAGTCTATTCTTTATCTGATATTTTCTTTCATACTGGAGTCAGTAACTTCTGCCTTTCCCTAACGACTTTCACCCACACTGAAGTACTTACTAGCAATACACTAATTTAGAATCTAGCCTCTGGATTCTTTCCTGGCTCCTCAACATTAAGATAAGCTTCCATAGTCTGGCACATGATCTGTGCAGACCTGGACAGACATCACAGAAAAGGCAGCGGCCAGTTCTCACAGCTAGAAGAGACATAGCCGTGTTACAAAAACTCGTATTTTATTGGAAGGACAACTAAACAGCAAACTTAATTGGAAACAGTTTAACCTAAAACATTCCCACTTTAACTAAGGTCAATGTAAGGGCAACAACATGCTGGTGATGTGACCCTGCATTACCATGGCCATTTCACCCTCTATACTGACACTTTAGCAGAATGGATTGTTTTGGGTTTTTTAAATATATCTTTATTGATTTCAGAGAGAGGAAGGAAGAGGGAGAGAGAGATAGAAACATCAATGATGAGAGAGTCATTGATCGGCTGCCTCCTGCACACCCCCGACTAGGGATCAAGCCCATGACCAGGGAATGTACCCTGACTGGGAATCAAACCGCGATCTCCTGGATCATAGGTCGATGCTCAACCACTGAGCCATGCCCAGCTGGGTGGAATGGGTTTTTTAAAGCGCTACAACTAACATGTCAGCAAAACATGCATTCTTCCTATGCTTTCAATTTTTAAAAAAATACACACAGGAAACCTAAGATTCTGTTCTATTTAAGCTTTAACCTTAACAAGGAAGTCTCAACAATTTAAGAAAGAACTGAACCAATAGATTGCATTGTTAACATTGATCAAATTCCTTCTTGCCTATTGGTCGACTTCTTTTTGGCATGATACTTTTAGGCCCAGACAAATTCACCACACTGCCATTTTAGTTTATCACGATCTAAGCAGAATATGGCAAAGCTAAAATCTCACCTTTCAATATGTGATGTTCCACCCAACTCAGTTTTGAGACTAGAACTCTTTCCCTAACCTTTTCTACTTGCTCAGTATTAAAGTCTATAAAAAAATTCCCCATTTTGGAAAACCTCTTTGCAGCCACATTCAGAATTCCTTCACATTAGAAGACGGTATGAAGCAAAACTTAGTACACAGGCAGGGGACATTCCTGTAAGTCAAGTAGTACATGCTGTACCAGCTGCGCTGGGAGAAGCCAGTGAGGTGCATGGACAGCTGCTAACCACCTGCCAGCATGCAGTAAACAATACACACTAGCTAGTTATTACCAGTACAATTACTGTTTTACCATTCAAAAATAAAAATACATTCAAGCTTCAAATTTTATCAGAAGTGGCAGAAGAGTTTGTTTTACAGAAGAAATAATTTCTTCCACATAAAAAGTAAAAATTAATGTGTAATTTTAAAGAAATATTATTAGTCTTCCCTAATATTAAAATTGGTTGTTTATAAAATATCAGTAAATGATCCCCTAATTACAAATATTTATGATTTAATATATCTACCTCTGATTATAAATTATGTGCACAATACTTTTCTTAAGACTTATTATGAATTTTTATGTTTTGGAATGGCCTTTTAAACATAAAAATTTACAGTAAATGACTATTAAAAGGCACCAAGTAAATAATCTTCACAATAAATGATTATAAAATCCAAGTGTTCAACTATTTTCCAACCCATTCAGAATACATAGATTTAAAAATACAATCTCCTGAGGCTTAAAGGCTAGACAGACTGTCGCCAACGCCACTTGGTGGACACAGCCGAAATGCTGGCGTTTTAAGCAGGGGTCTGTGAGTGTCTTACCTTCCTCTCTTTCATGCTGTCGGCTTGCACAGTTTCCAGGCGTGCTTTAAAGTGCTCACAATCCATTCTCAGTTGCTCTAATTCTTGCTCCTTCCTTTCCAGGTCTAGAAGAAAGAGACATAAATACTTAGTATTTCAAATCAGTAATCTCTCTTATCCATTTTGCCTGATCTCTTAGGAAAACCTATACTGATTTCTTAGATAGTAGTATTTGCATAACCAGTCCTTGAATAACCAATATTCTAAAAGTCCTGCTTTTTAAGTTTATCGGTTTTTAGCTCATAGTAAAAAGCACTTTTTTGTTGTTTTCTGTTTTGTGTTTTTAAGACCTCACTTTACTGCCAAACTTGTACTCAGGCTCTAAGAAAGTGTGTATTTAAAGGACTGGAGGCAGGGCTAGAAGCCTGTCTCATGGCACAAACTTGTATCTGTTCCAGAAAAAGCAGAAGGCTGCTCTGTGAGTAGACAGTGCCAGCCAGGGCTGATTCACAAAGCTGGCCTCACCAACGGGCAGAGTGACTCAATGGGACAGCTGCAGTTGTAGTCAATGGAGGGGTGAGAATATGGTGATTGGGACAAGAAAAGGCCATAGTGAAAGCTGGAGACTATGGAATACTCCCTCTATACCACAGTCATTTAGATCAGGGATAGGGAATGTCCGGCCCGGGGGCCAACATCATTTGGTCTGGTCCTGCCAAGGCACCACAGGCATGACTTGAAATTCAAATCTAGGAGCTTTTATCATAGCTAATTTTTAAGTTGACAATTCTGTATGGCCCTTGAAAGATGTTATAAATATTCAAATGGCCCTTGGCAGAAAAAAGGTTCCCCACCCAATTTAGATGATTCAAATGGCCAAAAAAAATCCCAAAAGACATCCATGTTAATAAATTTGAAATAAAAAACATTATCACTTTAGATAAAAAGTATTACGCAGCAGAAATACTTGTGTTCAAAAATCAAAGAAATACGTAATTTAAAAATTTAAGTGCCTTGATTTCAAGGGCTGAGAAATCATCGGTTTTTATACTGACATATACCAAGATTGGGAGGGCACATGTACTCAGAGCTACTTCTCTGATAAAAGTAGCGATAGCTGAGGACAGTGGATTCTCAGACTTTAGGACTTCTTCAAACACAGGCTGCTAGACCCAATCCTCAGATTCTGATTCAGTAGGATTGAATTAGGCTAAGACTGCATTCCTTATTATTATTATTTTTTCAATCATATCTTTATTGATTTCAGGGAGAGGAAGGGAGAAGGAGGGAGATAGAAACATCAACGATGAGAGAGTCATCGTTGGTCAGCTGCCTCCTGCACACCCTTGACTGGGGATCCAGCCCACAACCCAGGCATGTGCCCTGACCAGGAATTGAACCTCTATCTCTCCCGGATCCTAGGTCTATGCTCAACCGCTGAGCCACGCCTGGCCGGCCTCACAAGTTACCAGGTGAGGTTAATGCTGCTGGTCTGGGAACATACTTTGAGGACAACCACCTGGCCTCTCTCATCACTAACTAAATGAAATCAACACACAACCAGTGACAGCAATCGAGGGAACCCTGCCGTAGGAATGCTAAAGGGCAGAAAAAGAGAGGGTGGTGAGAGAGCCTCAGAGAGCAGACCCCTAAAAAATGGAACATTACTCCACTAGAGAGGAGAAATGTCACCTACAGACGCTTCCTACAATGATGTGCAAACCAAAGAGAAGGGGTATGGCTTTGTAACCTTGGGGTCTCAGAGAGAAAGCAAGGGAAAGCCCAAACAAGAAGCTCAGGGGGCCTGCCAAGAACAACACAGGCATCCTAAAAGCTCTGGAGAATCAACAGAGTCTGCATTTTATACAGACCCCTTTGCCCTGGAAGGAAGATTAAAACCTAAAGCTAAATATTCAGACAGAGAATATGAAACTGGCTGGCAAAGCTTCTTTTAAAAGGTTTTTCTTAGAAACTAGGTTGAAGTAACATGAGACTATTTCTTCTCCTTTAAATTGGTTTCTTTTCTGCCCTTTTATGATGTATTATGCCACAACATGACTTTCACTGGAATTCTTTCTTTTGTTGCGTTAATCCTAGCCACACAAGAACACAACTATCAATCAAGTGTGCTAAATGAAAATATATATATTTATATGTATGAAATAATTATGTATGAAATATGAACTGGTCACAGACAAAGAAAATGAAAAAAGGAACAAAGACAAAATTATTGATGGTGTAAACTTTTTGCAGTTAACTCTTAAATGTTTCCTCTATTAAACCGTATGTTACTCAAACATAGTAAAGATGATGGGAAATTACAACTCTATAAGCCTTATCATGTGTAAAAATCTGTAGGAATTAATTCTGACCACCCAAAAGACTCTTTAACTAAGGTAATTTCATAACCTCTCACTCTACGTAGCTGTATGCCACCTCACTGCATTTTCAACTTGGCCCACAGCACGCCTGCCACCTAAAACACCATGAGGGCACAGATTTTCATGCTTTGTTTTCTCTTTTAACATAACAAAGGGACGAGGTTAAACATCCCACTCTACCACAGACCACCCCACAGAATTCAGTACCAGGGATGCCACGCCCACTCACTGCTGGCTCTCCAGGAGGAAGCAGGGGCCTTTTGCAAGTATGAGGCCCCCACCTTGTGGCCAGATGGGAGCACTGCTGCCGCTACAACTGCCGCCTCCGGACAAAACTCCCACCTTGCATTTTCTTTTTTTATTTATTTGACTTAAACAAGAAAATTTTTGTCTCACAATTCTACAGGCCTGTGTCCAAAATTCCCCTTTTTATAAAAACATGCATCACATGTTAGATTACAGTTCATCCTAATTACCTCACTTCAACTTAATTATCTCTGTAAATAAGGTCTGCAAATAAGGTCACATTCTGAGATACTGGAGGTTAGAACTTCAACATATGAATGTGGACCGCCTTGCATTTTCAACTTGGCCCACAGCACGCCTGCCACCTAAAACACCATGAGGGCACAGATTTTCATGCTTTGTTTTCTCTCTTTTTTTTTAATATATCTTTATTGATTTCAGAGAGGGGAAAGGCGAGCGAGAGAGAGAGATAGAAACATCAATGATGAGAGAGTCACTGATCGAGCCCGCAACCCGGGCATGTGCCCTGACCGGGAACCAAACCCTGACCGCCTGGATCCTAGGTCGACGCTCAACCGCTGAGCATGCCTGGCCGAGCTTCATGCTTTGTTTTCTAATACATCCCAAATGCCTAAGATAGTACATGGCATATAGTAGGCACTTTACAAATATTTGTCACAAAAATAAACTTTTCTTTATACATTCCTTCTGCTAATCCTTGAATAAAAAATACTACTTTGATTATATGTCTCATTCTTCTATAATAATATATTATTTTGCAATTTTTTTAAAAAACCACACAGAAATAATATGAACAGTGAATGATATACTATATATAGTCAAGACATTATCTTACCCAGCCTCAATATTAGAACAGGGAAGGGACTGCTACTGAGCCTACACTGTATTTCAACAGTTAATCTTTAGCATTCAAATAAGGAGAAATCTCCATTTAACTATTAACTGAATGAAGGGTGGCCTAGACTGACTACAAATATACAGAAATAATCGAAATCACAGGCCATTTTAACATCTACATATCTTCTGAATTTTACAATACTTTTTGATAGTTTTAATAACATGAGAATGACTGTATTTCTTAATGTTCAACTGATTCACAGGAAAGGTATAGAGAACTATATATAGGCAGGATAAGAGAGCTATAAAGGAAAACACTAACCAAAGAAATTTGGTTGCTATACAACAGGGATCAATTTCTCCTACCCTTCTTTATCACCTGGAATGTTTATAATAAATTAGCAGTTGTTTCACATTAATATGAAAATACATTTTTGATCAAAATAACTAAGGAAAGAGTCTCAAATCCAAAATAAAGGCTTTTTAACAGCCATTAACTTTTACCTTATCACTCTCTAATGGGTTTAGCAGAGAACTTAGAATTAGTTACTGATGGATTCCATCTTTACTCGAGCTGAGATTTAGAGGGATCATTCATTTACTAGTGCTGCCAGCACAAAGCACAGGCTTCCCCGCTATCCAAAAGCACAGCATTCCTATTCACCCTTCACAAGACCAAATGGCGTAAAGTGAAGAAGCAATTACCTGAAGATACATCTTCTAACAGATGCACAAAATAAATGGATATAAAGCCCAGATGCTCACAGACACAGCTGAAAGCTCTGGCAGCTTGATGCTGAGATGCCGAGTGTAGTTCCCAGCAAATGAGCTTGGCGGGGCCCCTCTCCCTGCTCTGGGTGTGAGCTGCCTCTACAATGGCTTGCTGCAAAGCAAACACTGAACACTATTTACACTTTGGGCCTTTTTCTGTAAAAGCAAAAATTGTCTTCGGATTTCTTTCAATTAGCAAAAACAGGTACTAACTAATGTACGGCTTTCATGAAGTTAAGTGTTGGAATGCAAACGTTCATAAAGTGAGGGATACCTGTACCACAAACTGGGTGGTTTAGAACATGTGACAAGAAATACCATATAGCAGTTAAATGCAGGGCCCTGAGCCTGGAGGAGAAGTCTGAACTAGAGATAAATCCAGGAGCCACTGTCACTAAAGTGGTAACTGAAGCTATCTGTGTACATAGACTCGCAACAGAGAGGCCATGGAGTGAGGACAGAGTGGGCCCAGGCCGGAACCTCAAGAAACTCCACTGGCTGACAGGCTGCTGCCAAGGATGAATCAGCAAAAGAGACTGAGAAGAAATGGCTCAAGAGATCAGTGAGGGAAGAGGTGACTACATGGCCTGGGGAAGGCCAGGGACTTCGGGGAAAGATCTCCTAAAGTCTAACTTTGATCACATTGTCACAGATTCATGTGTGGCCCTTGCTTTTGTAAGCACAATTTGTTTTAGGTAGAGGACTGATGTCCAAAGCCTGACTCATGCTAGTCTATTCATGAGACCCTGATGCAATTCTTTAGAATGCCAGTTTACTAATTTGCAGTGAGAACATAACCATCGAACAGACTGACATACTCTGCTACCAATCAGCATTTTCCTTCCCTGAAGATAAATGTGCTCAAGATGACTAACTGTTCTTAGAAGGTTGCTGGATGAGCATGGCATCAGAACTGGGAAGTTTAAGAAGCCAATGACCTGAAGCTATGGTAACCAGTGACATGGACATATCCAGCAGGGTCCTAATGGGAAACAAATCAACCCAGAAGATGAAACTTTATGGGAGAGCAGGGATAAGAGACCCAACAGGGATGGTGAAGCACCCAGGGACTGGCAATGGCCCTCAGCTGAAGGAACAAGGGGAGGAAACAGTGTTACCGGAGGCCAGTGAGAGCTGAGACTGTGGAGAAGGCCTTAGTGGGAGTCCCAGCTGTACAGAGAGGAGGAAGAAACACCCCAACCCCTCTCTCTGCCCACTGACGCCTTCCACTGGTGAGCCCTACCGGTAGCCAGAGGCAAGCATTCTGCAGGAGTCCACGACACAGGAGGAGAGTTGATCTGAGGATTCCAAAGAAAGAATAAGCAGGACAGGGAGCTATGGTAACCACGAGCATTCTCCCATCTAACTGGATGTGGCTGCGCCCTTGACCAAACACATTTGCACAAATCAGAAATGTACTATTAAGATACCTTGTCTGGACTTTGTGCTAGAAACACAGCCTGGATCCCCTACATGCACCTTTTTCTACAGGTGATGGCAAATGGTCAGATGCACTATGGTGAGTTAACCTTAACCACTGAAAGTTGATTTAATTGTAATTCAGCCTCAATTAGGCAAATGCCAAATCAATCCTAGAGTATCTCCAAGAACTCCCAGATTGATATCTGACATAACAGCTCAGCTCAAATCTCAAAATCTAAATGGACAAGTCCTAGCAAGGTGGAACTTAAACCAGTGCGGGAAACTGACCAATCCGTCAACCCAGAGACAAGTAAGCACATATCCAGCCATCTCGACAGACAGACACATTTAACTCCATGGCAAGATCCTTAACTTTCACTGGTAAGAACTTAATTTTTAGAGCACAACTTATAAATTATAAAAGTATAAAATTCTGCCAAGGAAGAGAGGTGGAGAGAAAGAGAAGCTGGTAATAAGATACCTCAGAAAGCTAGCAACCCTTCCTCCAACACAAACTTAACACACTTCCCAGTTACTCTTTCAAGCCCCTCCCTTTTCTTATGTCTTATCTGACTCTCCCAAATGTAATCCAGGACTATAACTGTACCCTCAAGTTTATTTATAATTACATTACCATTATCTACGTCAGGTAAACATAACGGAACCGACTGCCGTCACCAACAGCGACTGCTAGAGATGAAGAAAGACTCACTTTTCTCTACAATCTTTAACTTCTGGAAGCTTTCCAGCACTTCCCCGTTTAGTATTCTGGGTAAGAAGTCCCGTATTTGCATCACTTCAGTTGTCAGCCGTTCCAGGTCCTTCTTTCGGACTTTGACAAATTCTTCTTTCGTTCCCATGAGCTAAAAGAACAAACAGATCTCCGGGTTATTATATTACATTTCTCTTCAGATGACTAAAGCCAGCAGCCCGTCGGCTCGTTTCCTTGTCAATGCCTTTTATGTTCAGTTTCGAGTGCATGTCTTCACCTAATGTGCCCTCTGCTGTATATATTACATCCTAGAGCCGAAGCTCCAGCCTTTACACTGGGAGCCCTTTCCTTAAGTGCACACGAGGCCCTGTGCCTCAAAGGCCAAGACAACGCCAACAACTCTTCCTTAACGTTTCAGTGCCAAGCTAATCAGGAGGAGGGGGAGTTTACTAGATGCCCACTGGGTGCCCGAGCCCCTGGCGGGCCGCCTCACTCAGGGTTCACCGCAACCCTTCGAGGTTGTCCAGGTCAGAATCAGGAAGCCCGGAGACTTCCTCCAAGTACCGCCATGAACAGGGGACAGGACCGAGATCCTTCTCCTGCATCGCGCGCAGCGGGAGAGACATCGCTGAACCTACACTAAGCCCTGACACAAGCGTCTCAGCCTCGCAGGGAGAGTCGGCTCCGGGTGTCAGAGGGGCACCGCCATCATCTCCCGTTCGCGCGCCCACCGCCCCACCGCGCAGCCTCCTGGACCCGCGTCCACAGTTTCAGAGGCGGGGTCGCTCGGCCCGCACCCCAGGCCCAGGGCACGCTGTCAGCCACAGGGGCCCAGAGCCTTTCCCAAGCGCGCTGGGCGAGGCCCTCACAGGCCGCAGGACAGCGCCAGCTAGCACACGGTGGCAGCTGAAACACGCGGGCGGCTGCCCAGGGCCT